AGAAATCAATTTCAAAATATTCTAGATTAGCCCAAGCATGTGCCATAACTTCAGACATACAGATAAGAGATAAACATTATATGCCACTGAAAATGGTGGCTATAATAAAATATTAACCAAACAATTAATAAAAAAAACTAAAATGAATTTTTCTAATTGCCACCACCAGTGATCATCACCGTTATCACATGATTGATTAACATGTAATATTTACACTATAATTGCAAATTTTCAAAAGTCTTTAAGCTCCCTATGTAACTAACCCTAATCTAACCCTAAGTTGACCTTCAATGCAATAATATTCCTATGCAACTAATCCTAACCTAACCCTAAATTTGACTTTCAATGCAATAATATTCCTATGCAACTAACCCTAACCTAACCCTAAGTTCTACTTTCAATGCAAATGATATTTTCAACACAATTAATTTTTTATATATATTCTGCTGAATATGAAATATATATAAAAAATGCTTAGTCTCAGGAAGTATAATAGAAATAGCATTGATTAAAGCTGGTTCAGAATCTGAAAATAGTACTTGAGGAGCTAAATTACCAATAACATCTTTAAGACATTAAAAAAACCATTGATAACTGCCACTTGTTTTATCTTTAAATAATTCCTGCTGGCAAACTAATCAAGTTTTGGTATTATTATCAACAATGACAGGAAGACTAAAATATATGTCAAACCAGTTTGTTTTACATGTATTATCATAAATAACAACATCATGGTATTTAATAAGAAGTTGGACTTGAGTTGGATTCATTTAAAATAAGCCAAAGTTGGATTATCTGGTCCCTCAAGACATGTTTTAATAATCCACTCTGGTTCTTCATATTGCAGTTCTAAAGTTTATTAAGAATTGATTGTCCATCACCATATCTTTGATGATTAGTAGTAGCTTTAAACAATAAATAGTATTATACAAATCCCTTTTATGAATGTAAATATCAGAATATTTTGATGACAATAAATGGTACTGCATTCTTGCACCCATATAACCATCCAATATAAAAAATCAGATATTATCAAGTATATTTGAAGGTAAATTTTGATACTTTAGAGCATATTGAGCAACAATCATGGTTGTGGTGATTAATAAAACTGGTGATTTTTACAGAATCTGTATTTTTTATTCTATTAACATTGCATACCTAAGAATAATTTAACTTTTCTGCTTGTCAATTTTTTTGTTGCATAAGATCAATAACTTTTTTGATTTACAAATTCTTCCATGATAACATTTAAAAGACCTTCTTACAATGATTGATTTATCAGTTTTATCTTTCTCTATTCATCCCTTTACAATTACAAATCCATTTGATTTTGCATACTGATCAAGAAAATGTTCTGCAAGGTCATAATTGTCAAAAATCATTCCAATTTCTGGTGAAATTGGATTCAGATCAATTTCTCTTTTTGGTACTCAAAGCCATCTATAGTTGAAAATTTAGTTAAATATCAAAAAAATCAATGTTAATAAAACAAAACTATATACTAATACTTACCATTATCATTTTCAAATTCACCCAAATTATTAGTAATATAACTAATATTCTGCACAAATCGATTTGTGATACAGTGTGACCCTAATTGCTTCCAAAGAGTAAAAAACATGTTTTGCAAATAACTTTTGATCTAGTAGTCCGATTTCAATTATCTTTTTTTATTTTAATCAGAGCAATGAGAGCTATCAATTAAAAAGATCATTAAAATGGATTACTATTTCCTGAGATAATTATTTTGGAGGTTGAATCAAGTCTGAATCAAGTCTGAATCAAATCAAATTTCAGAGAAAAAATTTGATTCATGTGGAATATTAATATAACTGTAGCTATTATTATCATCAAATATTATTGTAGGATCATTCAAATTAATTTTGTCATTATAATTATCAATATTCATTTTGAAAAAAAAAGAAAGTATATACATATAAAAAAATAAAAAGAAAGAAATATTTTGTATATGAAAAGAAAAAAAATACTTTCATGAAACTATTTTGATTTGATTTGAATTAGTAAATAAAATAATATCATAATAATCATGTCTTTTTAAAATTCACCTTTTAAGAAATAATCATCTTTCAATGCATAAGTAGTATAATGATTGGTAGTTGTATTTAATTCTTCAATCATTTGATTGATATCTGCTACTTCATGATCTACCATTTCTTGTTGAATTTATATTGCATTATTTATATCATCATTGGTTGAAAAAGGTACTGTAGAATTCCAACAATTTAAGATTATCTTTTTGGTCACATTATCTCACACTTCTGACACATAGTTAATAGCTTCTTTAATATTAATCTTTTCTTGATTAATATTTTTTCCTTCTTTAAAAAGTTCTAGTATACAATAACCATATTTTCTTTTATAATAATTTTTAAAACTTGCAATAATTCTAGCATCAAGAGATTGGAGGTGGCTTATGTAAAAAGGCTACTACAACATGAGTTAATTGGAGTTGAGAAACATCAGGTTATGATCTACCACTACAGCCTCTTGATCCATGACCTCTTGATTAGAGATGGTAACAGTCAGTTATGGTTGGTTATAATCAGTTATAATCAGTTATAGCAATTTAAACAGTCAGTTATCATATTGGCCGATAGAGGAAGTCCCTAAAATTTTGGGGGATATTTTTGTGATCAGTAAGAGGGACTGTCATATCAATTGTCAGCCAATAAATTAAACTACGCCACTTAAATATACTTCTGGTGACCACTTTACATTTATTATATATACAGTATACTCGCGTCAATACTCTAGAAACTCATCTGTTATAAACAATATATATTTTGACAGATTATAGTACTTGGGACAATGGATTAGGAAGAGGGACAATGGGTTAGACGTGATTTACATAATAATATACATAATAAAAAGAGGGTTAGACGCGATTCTACATAAGTAAAAAAGAGCTTAAACGTATAAAAAAGAAAATTTTTTTGAGTTTTTAGAGAATTAGATTATGTAATATTAATAGTTTAGGGAAACAATTAAGGCCCAATTTCCCAATCAGCCAATATGTAGTCAGTTAAAAATTGGTTAAACAGTCAGTTAAATGGTCAGTTATACCATTTACTTAAATAATTGATTAAATGGTCAGTCAAATAATTAAAAATGGTTAGTCAAATGTTAAATGGTTGGTCAAACAGTTGGTTAAATGGCAGTTAAACAGTCAGTTAAATGGTTATAATCATAACCATTGCTATCCCTACTCTTGATCCTCTACTCCTTTTACTTTCTTATTTACTACATCTGAATATAAGATGAAACAATTCAATAATTCAGTTTCTAACATTAATTATTCAGAATTTGGAAAGTAGTTCATATACTATTATTATTAAAGTTACTTGTCAAAATTAGTGAATTATATCATGTTGAATTGTTATAAAAATTATTTTTCTATTTCATAATTTGCATTTTGGTCAATTTTATTAATAATAGAATAATTTCATCATTTTGTCATATTGAAATGTCAAAATTATTTTTACCATTTTACTAATAGTTATTTTATTTTTGGCAAGCAACTTTAACTATTATCATACATAGTCTAAAAGGAATCAAAATGTATTTTTAATGAATATAATTTCTAAGAACTCCCAATCTTAATATTTGTATAATAGAAGGTAATTAAAGTATTATAAATTATCAAGAAACTATTAAATATTTTCTTTAATTCATAGTCTTCTATCAGAATAGGTATTTGAATTTGTAATATAAAATAAGAAAAAAAATTTATATAATAATCTGATCGAAATTAAGATCAACATACTCAATTCTGATCACATGCTTGGATTGGTTAAGGAATTTTGCAAACTAAAAATCATTAAATTGTTTAAATAATTCTGAAAAGTAACTAGAAATTAAAGATGATGAAGAAATAGTTTTTCTTGGTTTATGTTCGTTATTAAATTCTTGTTATTTAGAATCTTGTATTTATAATGTTTTAAATTTCAGGAATAATGGCATTTAATTGTTTCTAAATATGATGATATGAGATTTAAAAAAATAATGAGGATGGATTCATAAAGCTTTCAAAATTTTTTAATAAAAATCCAACTACATCCAATTTTTCAGCCAACTAGTAACAATCAAAAAACTTCAGTTGAATTACAATTAGCTATTTTTTTGTGAAGATTGGTTTCAAAAGACGAAATTTTTAGTATATATTCAAGATATAGTATTTTAAAAGGTACTGAAGATACTCTTTATTATATTGCAAAAGAGTTATGACTACTATCCTTTCATTAAAAAGTGAATTGGTTAAATGGCCAATAGGTGAATTAAGAAGAATAGTTCATTTAGGATTAAATAATATTGGAGGATTTAATAATATAATTGGTATAGATGATATCCATATAATATTGGAAACTGCTCCATTTGAACAACCTGAAATATATTGGAATAGTATTCACTCAATATCAAGATATTGTTGATCATCATGGCATTTTTATTAACTATAAAATAGGATGACCAGGTTCTGTTCATGATGCCAAAGTGTATTTCTTTTTTTTATCAAAATATTTTTATACTTATAAAAGGATGGGATTATTTACTTGGAGATTCTGCATATCTACTATCCATCTTTCTCATTAAACCTTTAATAATCCTGAAAATAACTTAGAAACACAATTTAATATTACTTATTCTTTACATCCCATAGCATTTGGTAGATTTAAAAATAAATTTAGTAGTTTAAAGAATTAAATGTTAGGAAATATTAAACGCCATTTATTTTACTAAGTGTTGTATAATTTTATATAATTTCTTAGAAACAAATAATAATAATTAGGATGAACTATATGAAAATAATAATAATATTTATAATTTAAATAAAAATTCTTTAAGAGGAGTAGGAAAATTAAAAAGAAATTAGATAATAACCCAGTTATTTCAATAATATTCAATATTTTTAACTTTTTATTAAATTCAATTAAAAAAAAAAATAATATAAAAATAAAGGCTAAAATATAAAATTAATCTCTTTTTTAAAATTTCAAATCTAATTCTTTTATTCTTAATTCAAATTCTATCCTTGATCTTTCTCTTTTATATACCCACCTCTCCTTTTCAACTTCTAATTGTTCCTTTTTTAATTTCTGACCCATTTCAGCTATTGCTGTAGCCATGACTTTAATGTTATTTTTAGGTTTTTATTTCTGTTTTTTATCCTCCTTTTTGATTTCAACTACTTCTTCTTCAAACATACCTGTTTCTCTATTTGCTGAATTAAATAAATCTTTAATTCCGGCCGGAATTAATTGATCTGCATAGAAATTTCCTTTTTTGGAAATTTGTATAACGTCACGTGATATATTTGGGACAACCGTCCAAAGATCATATTCATTTTATCATACCAATACCAGTCCTTTTTATCTTTACCAGTTTGATTATTAATTTATTATGTTTCTTAATTGATTTATACTTCTTTATTAATCTGGCGAGTTTACCTAAATAAATAATTAAAAAATATTAATAATTTAACAATGAATTAAGAAAAAAATAAATATTTACTTTTAATTACATTTGCCTCTTTGTTAGGTAAAATACTTTTTATCATTTCATTATAAAACTTGGATTTCTTCCCTTTAGACCAAGCTGAATAATTTTCTTAAGTAAAACTTTGATTTCATTATATCCCACTTATTTTCAGACTTTTTGCTAGAAGGATCTTGATCACAATCTTTACCTTCATCTCTTTTAACCTAAAATAAATAATTTTTAAAACATAACTGAAATGATAATTTAAAATCCACAATTATATATTTATTTGTTCTATTTGTTCTATTTCAAGTTGACTGAAATTTTGATTTTGCTGTTGAGGTAAAGTAAAAGGTAAATTGTATAGTTAAAGGATCATACTACTGCTAAAAAAGAGTATATGTTGATTGTTAAAGAAAAGAGTGTTGTTAAGAAAGAATAGGCTGTTGGCAAGGAAGAGCTTGTTGCTGAACTTGCTGCTGTTCTGTAAGAACTGGTCTGAACAAAATTATACATGAAGCTGTTGTTGAACATGTTGCTATTGTCTTTTTATTTTGAAGGTTTATGAAAGTTTGTATTGATATATTTAAAAGAAGTTTTTCCATTAACTAGAAGAGAAAAAATAAATGATACTAATAAAGTGATTAAGTGATTAACTTATTCATAGTAGCTTGGCACGTGTCTAAATGTTAATGTGGTACAGACAAGGCTTACCAGATGCTAATTAAAAAAATGATGGGCAATGGACATCAGTATCAGTACCTGGCATAGTACCAGATAGTGTCTGGTATGATGCCAATTGTGCCGGATTTTCACATAATGATACAATAAAATTGCCTATAATCGCAAATTTTTGGAAATCATTTTTTTGAGGTAATATTTATTAAGAAGTACTAATTTAAAATGGGCGATAAATAAAAATGTATGCTAATTGAAAAGTTATCAATCGGTATACTGATATGTCTATAGTAAATAACTATTAATATCAAATTGTACTCTATTGTAATATCCCGACTGGAATCCTAATGTACTTCTTTTGCACCATTTTCTGGTAATTGGGATTATCCTGATTGATAATGAACAAAAAAAACAGGAACCAATAAGACAGAAATCGGGTGACCTGATTTCCATCAAATTTTTACTATCACGTGGCAGTAAAAATATCATCACAACCTCTACTGTTCACGCAACTTATTTGTCGCATCTTACCCGTCACTGTTTATTTTCACACGTTAGTGCATAATGTCGTAATGCGGGCCAAATGTCACGTGATAGTAAAATTTTGATGGGAAGTTTCTTATTGATCATCACATTTATCAACCCGAAAAAATAGATTAATATTATAGTATACACGTTTCCCACGATGGGAATTATTCAAATGATATTTGCAAATGTAAAGACTTGCTTTATTAATAAAATTAAATACAAATCAGAATCGTTAGTTTTAGCAACCCTCTTTACCAATTATACATGACGCTAATTTACATGAACTTCACAGTCGACTACTCCTCTTTTTAGAAACATTCCCAAATCCGTTAATTTTTTTATCTTCTCAACATCTCGGGATATGTCATTACGGCTACAAATCTTAACATTGCACAGCCCTATTTTTCGGCAAATATTTTTCTGATAGCATTTCAGGCAGGTGATCCAAAAATCATGGCGCAAAATGTTTAACATTTTTACACATGACCTGCGGTACCAATGACGTGCTACAGCGGATTATGCTAATGCCATGATCTCTGGGTGTCTTGTTGACGTTTCATTCTGACTTTTTTTTCTCGATTAATATATTATTAAAAGCAGCCTCACCACAGTCGGCAACCTTAGCTGGAGTCGCTTCATTTGATGTTGTTTCGTTCTGACCCTTCCCTTCGGTCAAGAATCGATTCCAAACAATCGCTGATCGCAATAAAAGAGTTTTCTTCATTTGATTTCATTTCGTCCTGGATATCTTCCTCAGCAATATGAGTAGGGACATTTTCTTTGGCTGCTGGACCGACCAAAGGAAGATGTGTTATTTAATTGCTTTCTTCCTCAAGGATTTCGTCACGAATCGCAATAAAAGGGTCTTCCTCATCTTCGAGAATCTTAAAAGGATCATCATCGTAATCAGCTGTCTTGATAATGGCCTCCTTAGAATCGGTAGAATCATCATGATCATCGGTAAAATCCAAATTAGGCTTTTCGGTGAAGTGGTCTATAATTCTCTGAATTTCTTCGTTAGTAAACTTTAATATTTCATTCGCACTATATGACCTGATATATTTGATTTTTCTATTCCTACCCTTTCAACCAATTTGTAGATCTTCACAGCTCTCTGAGTTTTTTTGCGTAAACTATCTCTTGATAGGTCCGGGAATGGTGATTCTGTATCTTGAGATCTTTTCTTGCGAAGGATGTTAAGTTGCTTCAGACTTCATCGTATATTAATCCTTTTGCCTTTTTTTCACTTTTATTTTTATGCATAGGTTCTTCTCCTGAAATACAAAATTTCTTCCATAGTAATACCAGCATAAAATTTCTTTTTAATTTGCTTCCAATGTGCTTCTGCGATAAGTGCTTTATCACAAATGCATCTGAACTGATAGTATCAGATTCCGGGACGACCGCGCGGTCTTGGAAATTTTGGTCACATGATTCGATACCTCTAGTAAGACATTTCTGAATTAACCCCTTTCGTTCATTGCGTTGTTTAATCTCTTCACTAAAATTTTCCTGTTTCCTCAGCTTAAGCTTCTCGTTCAAGAAATCCTCGACATCTATTTCTCCTTTGGTTGATACTTTTGGCTCTGTAATTGAATTAGAATTTGATGAACTGTTGTTAGATGAGTTGTTACTTTGCACATGCCTGGATTCTTGTTCAGACGAAGTAACTCTTTCATCAGGCTTGACTTCCGCGGCATTACTGGACGGATCTACTAAGGAGTCAGATACATCAACAGCCTCCGATACCACTTCCTTGATTTGTTCGTTCTGCGGCTGCTCGTCTACTACCGAAGAATCTTATTCTATTTTCGCGAGTCTAGAGTCAAGCTCACCAACCCTAGACTTGAGTTTAGTGTTCTCAGCATCAGTATTCGCTCTACTCTTCTCCAATTCCTCGATTCTGCTCTCAAGTTTCCTCCTAAGCTTCTCGTTTTCGTTTTTAGCTTCGCAAAGTTCGACCTCGAGTTCAGAATTCTCTCTCCTAAGTTTAGCAAGTATTTCCTCAACCTTGGCGTTTCGCCGCCTCAACACCCCAAGCCCTACATTCTCAGCTTCAAGTTCAGTTTGAGCTGTTTCAATAATTCAAGGTCTGATGGGTTATTAGCTCTGCAGCTGACATGATTATTATTTTTCATACAAAACAAGAAATGTTCAATGTTATGTGGCAAATGCAAAGACTCACTTTATTGATACAAGATAAAAATAAAAACAGATTGGGCCGATTTAACCCATAATAAATGTGTAAAAATAATTGTTGCCGGACTCGCCGGCTTACAGTACATAGATATATCACAGAAGTCACTCAATTGTTACAATGACATGAATTTTCTCATTAAAAGGTTGAGATGGGGAAATGTTTGGAAATTAATTCGTATGGAAACATTTCTCTACAGCCGTAAAACTCCTTCCGCTTATATTGATCAAATTGTATAGAATATTTTCCACGAATCTCCATAATCATAGGCCTCAACTGATCGATGGTGTTATCGAAAGTTGTCTCAAGAGTTATAATTCTACGTTTTGTGAGATTTTCAGACTCGGCGGAGATAACAAGAACATTAATTCTGATGGTTTCAGCCATTATACGCTTCTTCCTAGATACAAAGGTCCATAGTGAATAAATTTTCATTTGTATGGTTGAAAATATGCTTTGAAACATTATTTCTATATAAAATAATATATTTTAAAACGTACCTTAATTTTTCGCGGCGGGAAGGTTGGTTGAACTTCTACCATTCCCTTCATACTTTATATCCCTCCTTCATTACCTGCGGTAACTCAGAAGAATAGTATTTATTTTTTTTCGAATTATATGAGAAAAGGGGGATACTTTGAAAGTGCATGAAATCGGAATCTTGAGTCCTTTTAGCGATCTTCCTCGCAAGACTCAAACTTAGTTTTACTCCTGACGATCTTGGAATTGCGAAGTCCTCAACCCTTCATAGCATATGGTTTTGCCGACAATATCAACATATACGGTAGATCCTGTGTTACAACAAAGCAATTTCACATTCCTCCCGCGTTTGTATGGGAAAAAAGATAGAGGTTAGTATGCATAGGTTTCTTTCGATTTATGCGAGAACTAATATGTCACACAGACCTGTGATCAGTTTATTTTGTCGTACAATTCATGGCTCAGCAAATTCTTCCGAGCTGATGATCACTGCTCCGATCATTGTTCCGGGCTGACATTAATCCCTCTCAGAATTCCAGCCCTTTACCGTCGCCTATGAGGTACTTTTACAATGCAATCGGTTTCCTAAGGCGCCTCTTTCTCAGATGAGTCGGATGAATCTGATGAATCTGATATTTCTTTTCCAAGCTCTACACCAGTTTGGTCTTTCACATAGTTTCCTATCCAGTCTGTCTAAGGTCCTTTCTAGCCTTTTAACCTTCTCTTTAAGCTCTCTATGCCGAAAATAGTAATAATCTAAGTACGCTGAACATACAATCTGATGAATGCTTATGATCGACTGTCATGTTAAACTGTCTATACAGATAATGTGATATATGCCATATCTTGTCCGAAAAAATATAAATTTCAGTGAAACCGATGATTAATTCCCATCAAAGATAATTCACTATAGTATAATTTTGCACAGGGGAGGTATGATTACTAGGACAATGCCCTAAAGCTTCGGATGCGATAGTCATAGCGTTTGATAAATTTGTAGCTCCATATTTTACCACTGCAAATACAGCTCCTATATTTCGTAAATATTTAGGGAGGAAATCGTACTTTTCTAGGTATGTGTGGAAGTAATTGACACCAGGTTTATCAGGATCCTTTCAGAAGAAATTGCACCCTGAATCCATTTAAGCAGCTGTCTAGCCCGCTCCTCATCCTTTTCCAATGATTTAAATACACGTGTAATGTCTGCCTGACCTCGATGTTTCGCATAGCCAGTTACTTTCCCGTTAGCTATTCTTAAACTTTAACTTCAGCAGGTCGAATACAGGGCATTATCATTATATCGGCAAGTGCCTGCAAATCAGGTTACTAGTCACGTCAAACCATCCAATCTCTCTTTGACTGATTCTGGCGCAAAGTGATCCGGATAATTAATCCCTGAGCAAGCGCTTTCCCTTTTGTTCTTCATTAGCTAATCGAGTTGTTTCTGGATCTAACGTAGCAGAAGTTATTTTTTCTGAAGTGTTAAGCCTGCGCAAATCTCTGGAGAGATGTGATGAGGCAGAACTAGCACTTGAGGCTGATTCAACTAAGGTCCTGCATATAGTTTTTACTTCCATTTCACTAAGATTCTCCTGAACAATATACTGAGATAATTCCTTAATTGACTCTTCTTGCAAACTCGGCATAGATTTACTGATCCTCCTTCCGATTCTGCCTCTTGGATAGTTGTAGAGGTATTAGATACAGTGACACTTTTGCGGTAACTTGTTCGTTACTAAAATTAAATCCATTTCGAAGTCGTTGTCGCGCTTGGACTCTTTTCACTCTTTCTGCTAGAAGGTCACCGGAAAGCATCTCTGCGTTGAGATTATGATCTATAACGAACTGGGCTTGGTATTAGGCTATATTGATAGAAATAGATTTTACCAATACAGGATTATACCATGCAGAAAAAGTTCAATTCTTCCTTCTGCCACTTCGTGCCCGACTTGTAACCAGAGATGAGATGTCTCGCAACTATAGATCAATGCTTCTTTCCATTCGTCATCGTCATAAACATATACCCTGGGAGTTCCCATTTCTTCGAAATTGAGAAGTTGTATTTCTTCACTAATTAATCTTTCCCTCCCGTCCATACAAAATAATTCCGTCAGGACCATATCATTTTTTTTTGGCGAAAGCTATAATCCCAGCGTCTGACATCATTCTATTTCGATATTCTCGAGCTAAGTCAATATCCTTTTCCGTAATAATCATGAATTTATCAGGGTCCTCATCATGATCGATAGCTCTCTTCACGCTGGGTTCTAAATAGGAGAATGGAAGGCTCAAGATTTAGATTCAGACGAAATTTTCGCAACCGTTGATTTAGCAAGTTCACCCATCTCAAACATTGCAGTTGTACCAGAAGTCAATGCTATTGGAATATCAGGCTCCGCTGTCATGTTATCAAAATGAGCTGGAGTCGATTCCTTGGACATGCATTTTTAACTACACCAATGCTAGACGTAGCAGACACTGATTTGAATGAAACTTCTGGCACTTCGAAAATAGGAATATCCGTGTTCTTGTTTTCGGGTAAATCGGTATGGGGTCTATCGGAGAATTCTTCGATGCGCCGTAGAGCTTAGCTACAATCTTGGTGCGATCAAGAATATAACTCCACTTTCTTTTCCTACAACTCTCTCGTTTGCGCTCAATATCAATTTAGGAAAATTTCTTTCCGACGATGTTACTAAAAAATGACTTCTCCCCGTTACCTCTGCACCACTCGAGGTAATTTTGATATAATTCATTACAGGTTAGTCTCTCTACTCTATCCTCGAATGGAATTTGAAAGTTGGTCGCGCCATCTCTGATTTCATTTTTGTCTCAAGTATATCACGCGGATACCAGTCCTTTGGGACGTTAAGACTAAGCAGATATGCCATAAATGATCCAGGCGTATCAGGGTGCTCAAGAATTTCACCTTGCCTTTTGAAATATGGAAAGTTTCCTTTACATCGGGCGGAAACATCCAATAAATTAATATTTATAATACTTTTATTATTTTTAAATTAAATTTATAAGTTGAATTAAAAAAATACAAATTAATAAAATATAAATTAAAAGAAATTTTATTAAATTTTATAATTAAAATTTTAAAATTTAAATATTAAATTATTAAAACACGAAGCATAAAATACGGCCATCTCCTTTTCTACTTGTATTGGTGAATCGTGATTGCTTAGAACCATGAACCCAGGGTAATGACCGCATACTTGAGGCTCCAATCCTTTTCGTTCTATCAAGACGTAATCTTCGGTTATAAGGGACTTCAAATGGCCATTCGCTTTTTGCCATTCATCTTTTGCCATTCTGGTTTCATTCATAATTATAAGCTTGCGACCTTGAACGGCGCTGTTGAATTTTCCAAGAATTTTTCCAAGGTCAGAAGTAGAATATACACGTTCAGGCTCAAATAGTCTTTTTCGGATAAAGTTTGAAAATATTCTTTCAGCAACGTGGGGAGAACGTAAAACGAGAAATGATGGGCGGAAACTAGAAGCCAAATCCACCGAAGGACATATACACTCTCCACCACAAAGAACGTTTTCTATATGCCAAAGAATCGGATTTACAAGGTTGCAATTAATCTGGGAAGCTGGCTTCGCTTTAAAGCCTAAGAAAAGGTTAAAGAATTCCGCTTTCGGTGAATAGCATTTGGAGGATATGGTAGGAAATCAATATCCGCATAAGTTATTAGACAATCATCTTCTGTTTTCTTTATTAATGATATTAATTTTATCGGCTCTCCGCCTAATTCACTACGTATATTAATTGTTCGTTTACCAATATCTAGTTTATGATTCATACCAAAATACAATCCTCCGTCAGAATTTTTATGCTTGAGAATCCATGCTCTTGATTCTTTTGATACACAAGCAATTGTAGCCTGAATAGCATCATACACCTCGTTACGTGTAAGTTTTTTCTTAGAGGCGCACATCATGATTATATCCCCACCATACGAAATGATCATCAGGATTAGAAATTCTAGGCCGGTCTAACTTTTCTGGAGCTGGAAGCTTTTTCTCTCTATCTAAGGTTGTCTCGCTAATGGTGAGATTTAGTAAGGGTTTTCTCGCCTCTGGTTGCTTTTCTTGATCTGCGCGTTAACAATAATAACTATAAAATTTTTATTTCGGATAATATGTGCATTTTCATTAGTATGAACCGAACATATAGTGTACAGTGCGAAACTACCTCAACAGCACCCAGAAAAATTAACTACCCTAAAGAACACCACCAAAAAAATTTCGGTAACGTGACTTTGTACTACTAATCTAAAAATAGTAGATATATCGAAATATTTTTCACAGTTCTTACTTCTCGCCCCAAGACTCCCGGTCAAACGATCATCAAAACACTTGCAAAGTATACTCTTTTTTGGTTGTGATCAACACGAAAAGTTTGCCTGCGAATTTAATATCTTAGATTTTAGATTATAGATTCAATAATAAGAATAATGAATCCTAAATCTAAGAGTATAACGCCCACCCTCCTTCCTTATGAACCGATGGGCTATATATATTTTTTTTCCTTCATTTTTTTTCATTTTAAAAAAAAAAAAAAAAAT